AGGCTCAGAAAACTTAGCGAGAGCCGGTCTCAAAAGTAAAGGGAGTCAGGGCCTGGCTAAGTGGGCGGGCCCTGGGTTCCATGCCCGGCGCCGGGCCGGGGCGGGGAGCGGCGCATCCAACATTCCCGGAGCTCGGATGGATCTCAGGCCTGTTTGCCAAGTGAGAAAAGCCACACATGCAGGGTTGCATGTCCCCAACTCTACTGACACAGTAGACCGCACAGGGCAAAGCCGTGGGGACCGAAACCAGATGAGAGGCTCCACGGAGCCGGGTGCAGGGGGGCTGACGTCAGAAGCACGGCACAAGGGCACATGGGGCTTTTTTTCTTTTTGAAACAGGGTCTCACTGTGAGGTTCAGGCTGGCCTTGGGCTCACTTTGCAGCCCAGGCTGGCCTGGAACTTGCACCGATCCTCCTGCCTCAGCCTCCCGAGTGCTGGGAGTCCAGGAGTGCATCACCATGCTTGGCCTATGGATTTCGCAATTGAAAAGCTGCCTGCTGCTGCAGTTCGGTCGTGAACCCAAATAGCCGGGGGTCTACAGGCATCTGTGCACACACACAGAGGAGCGAACGCTCAGAACTGCCGCGCTGCAGCTCGCGCGCTTGGACCCGCCGTGCTTTGCACAGCGTACTCAGGGCTGCACTTTCCCTTCTGTGCTGGTTTTGGTTCTGGCGACCTGGCTGTGTGAGATGGTCTCTAACGCCAGGCGTGGTGCGCACCTCTGATCCCGGCACCAGAAGCCCAAGACAGGAGGATCACGGGGTCCAGCCCAGCATGGCTTCTTAGCACCTCAGTGAGACTGTAAACAGCTGGGCTCAAAAGGTAGCTCAGTGCAAAGCCCAAGTCCAATCTCCAGTACCACACACACACACACACACACACACACACACACACACACTCGCACACCCCTAAGCTGCTCCCAGCCCTCTGAAGGCCAGGGCTGCACTGTGCCTGAGAAGATGCCATGTGTGTGCGCGTGCGTGCGCGGAGCTGAGCGTCACGCTGGTGAGACTCAGGGCAACGACAGCCCTGTACAGGGCGGGCAGTACCAGCAGAACGTACTGGAGCAGGGACGCGAGGCTGAGCCCGCAGGCCGGCGGGAGCCTGGCCCTGTGTTCCCAGGCGGCCAGGATCTGCTGACTCCGTGTCTGCCCGATACGGGGCTGACTATGGGCACACCTCGGGAGAATCAGTCCAGTGAAGTGCTAGCTGAGCGGCTCCAGTCTGAAGCCTGAGCTGGCTCTGCTGGGTTCAGTGCATCCTGCATGCTGGCGTTTTGGCTTAGAAATGCTCCTTGCTAACACCTGTACAAAGATCCCCAAACCCAAACGCAACAGAACTCCAAAGCCTACAAAGCTGCTGATCCTCAACCTGCACAAGCGCCTGCTAGAGCTGGGGGAACCTCAAAAAGATGACGGCCAGAAATGAAGTCGCCAGATACACAAGGGTTGGTGTTGCATGATCCGTGGATCAGAAAAGCCCACCCCAGCAAACCCTCAGAGCAGAGAGCAGACGAGAGGATGGTGGAAGGGAGCGGGGGAGACAGGGCAGGGAGAGGCCGGCTGCCCTCCCCGGTGGTGAAAACCTCTGAGCCAGGGGAGGTGGCAACCACACAACGCCGTCACGTGCTACGCGCCACGCGCACAGTACTCCGAGACGGTTACGCTACTTGCTGCAGGGCAGCAGCAAACAGAACACTGAGCGGGCACCCAGACGGGGAGGTGGACTTATTCACATTAGCGGGCACTAATCGGGAGGGTTCCCACGGCAGCAGGCCCCGATCTCGGGTGTCTCGGGCTTACACGGGGTGAGCAAGCAGGAAGCACAGGGCAGGAGGGCCGTCAGCTGGGGACTGGGGCTTACAACACGCATCCCAGTGAGCAGCTGCGCACAGTGACCAGTTGTTTCTAAGAAACGAAAGTGACAGGAACTGTAACCACAACTATTACCGGGAACTACCAGACTGAGGCTGGGGGCATCTCCTGCTGCAGCCCAGCCGGCCCTCAGTGCGGAACGCTTCTCCGCAGAGCACAGCACCACCGTCGTGGCCAGACCCCGCACTCCAGCCTCTAGGATCTGGAACGTCCTCCCACCACACCACACGCAGCCTCCCTAAGTGCTGGTACCCAGCACCACCCAGGTCCGTGTCCTTCCTCCTACAGACACAGCCACATTCCGGGGCAAGGGCTCGGTTTAAACAGAACGCCTGCGCCTGCCAGGTGTCGCGCACTCTCTGGCTGCGGACACCTCCCCTCCCCGTGGAAGCCAGCCCACTTCCTGCTGTCTCCGGAGCGCCCACCTGCTTCAGCCTTTCTCCTGTGCCCCCCCCAGATCAGAAGCGCCAAGCCCACCCACGGAGGCAGCAGCACACACCTTTGACCCAGCTACTCGGGAGGCCGAGGCAGAGCACTGCAAGCTCCGGACCAGCCTGCGTAACGTAGCAAGACCGGTCTGAGAACGAAATAAACAGGGTGAAGAGGCAGCTCAGTGGACTCTGGGTCACAGCAGCACCCCTGGATTCAAGCAGCATTACTGCAACACCAGCGACAGCAGCACTGGGCACAGGCTCCACACACCACCGCACTCTCGCCCTCCCACGCAGCCCCACCTGGTGGACAGAGGCACCAAGGCCCGGAGACCAGGTGACCCATCAGGGCATCTGAAGCGGTGTGTCCACCTGCAGCCGGTGCCCCCGGCAGCCCTCCCGACCCCCAGGGAGGTCACAGACCTGGGGTCCCCGCCCCCTAGCCTCCGCTCCTTCCCCTCTCCCACCTTGACACTTCTGGAGTTTTTACACAGATCATCAGATGTACAGTAACAGTGCCGGCTTTCCTTCTCACTCAGACTACAGTTAATTTTCATAGACATCTTATTTACACTATGCTGCATTTTCCCAATGAAATCTGTAAAATGCTTCAGGGCAGAAGCCGTGCCCAGGGAGACACCGTGCACCCCGCTCAGGCGGCTCCCCGGGGTGGGCACCAGGAAATGAGCCACAGGCAGCGTCCCACACACGCTGCAGACTGCCGCGCAGACCCATCCACAGGCCGGGTGCCAGATGGCCGTCCGTCCTCAGTGCCTCCTGTGAGATTGTTTTTCCAAGTACGCGTTTGCAGTAGGTAATGATGCGATTCCTCTGGGGCTGCCAAGGACACCTTCAGTCCCCTCCCCACCCTGCTTCCATCTCTCGGCCTCTGCCATTTGTGAACAGCCCCCTATTTCCGATTACCTATCCTTTACTTCCCCTGTACTCATCTAATATGTCCGAGCATAAGAGTCCGCTGCTTGGGGAAACCCCAGGGCGGGGAGGAACGGGCGCTCCATAGGGTTCCAGGGCAAACCTGCAGGGACTCCAACCCTGCCCCGCCCGACACAGGAGGGGGTTCCTGCACAACAGACAGGGCTTGTGCAAAGCACCCTGGCCCAAAGCCACACGCCCCAGGACTGCCTGAGGCAGAGGAGCAGTGAGCCATGCATGTGGCCCCCAGAAGGTACCAGGGGAAAGTCTGGGGACCCCTGAATGAAAATGGGGTCCCAACCAACATGCAAGCTCATGACCCACACCCCAAATAAAGCCCCACACGAGGGAGGATGCAGAACCTGGCAAGAACAGTTCCACAGCCAAAGGGCTACCTCATCTGGTCCCTCCCCTCAGGGTCAGGTGGGAGCCCCTAAGACCCTCAGGTCTGGATAGAAGGCCAAAGGCAGCAGTGCGCAGGTGTGGCTGAGCTGAACAGGAGACCCTAGGGCTCCAGTCCCCTTTCGGGGTGGCTTCCAGGTGCCTCGAGAGGCCCCGTGACCAGCCGGGGAGAGTGCAGTCTCGCCTCATGGAGATGCCCACGGACGCAGACAGTGGCTCAGCCTGTCTGCGGCACTCACACAGGAGAAAACACAGGAACGGGGCTGGCCACGGCCTCACTGGACCACCAATCATGTTGAGGGCATCTGGCAAGCGGGGGCCCGACCCAGGCTCAGAATTAGGGCGCTGCTGGATCTGTGTCCTGCGGCCGGTGCATGCCTTGCAGGGAGATGCAGTGGGGCCCAGACAGCCAGCTACAGACTGGGCTGGGGCCCTGCGCTGCCAGTAGCAGTGGGCGTGCAAGGGGGCTGTGGTCCACAGGGCACAAACACAAGTGACATTTGGCTCATCACCAAGAACCCAGATAGCCACGCGGGTCCATCCGCTCTCCCAGCACAGCTTGGACTTGTCTGTCCCCACCAGCAGCGGGCTCTAGCACAGCTGCAGCCATGCACACACTCCGGGGCGGAGCAGGTGTCCCAGCTGAGGGGCAAACACCGACACCCGCCTCGGGGAAAAGATCTAGGAAGGACTCCCCGCCCTGCTGGGGTCACGGTCCAAGCTCGGCAGGGACCCTGTGGGCAGGGAATGCTCTAGGAACCAGCATCCCCCAGTGGTGCTGTGTGGCCTGCTGCTGGCCCCGGTGGGAGGAAAAGGTCCGAATGCACGGGTCACGGCTCACGGGCTGGTGGGACCCCAAATGGCTCCACAGCCACCAAGACCCTTCCACTGACTCTGCCCGGGGAGAGTTTAACCAGCCACCGTGCTATGGCCCTGCCCCCGCCGAGGCAGGAAAGGACTCAGCAGGCAGATGCACACGATCCCTGGGTGGTGAGGGTGGGGCACACTGTCCCTGGTGTCACGCTCACCTGTCACAGGACCTACCTACCCCACAGGGCCAAGAGCCAGGGCGCCCTGACCCGAGGAGTCCCTGTAGCCCAGCGGCTCCGGCCCAGGGCCGCTGGTCCCAGGTCGAGACCTCCGAGCCCAGAATGCCCCAGCATGACTGAGCGTCTGTGAGCAGCTCTCCAGGACTCAACCTGGAGCTGGGCGGAAGGCAGGGCCGAGACGCACACAGCTCCTGGGGAAGGCGGCCACCACCGTGCCCAGAGCTCCCGAGTGACAGGGCCATCTGCCTCATGGTCCGGGTCCGGCCAGCTAGGAAGAAAGGATTCTTACAGTGACCTGCGCAGCTCCTACCTTGTTTTTGAAGTAGACCTCAATGGGCATGATGAAGCCAGCGTAACCCGACTCCTCCACTTTGTAGGGGGGCTCCTTGCACACTAAAAAGAAAGGGAAAACCATTGGTTAGCTTCGGGCCAGCTTCCTGTCCCTCCCAAGGCCATCTCCACCTCCTCCCTGGCTGCGCATGGTTCCAAGAGAAGGAAGAAGGTGCGGAGAGTCGGAGAGGCAGGCTGGGCAGGAGAAAGGCGAGTCAAGGGGCTGTCAGGAGGGGACAGCAGGCGGTATGAGCGGCCCCTGGGCACTTGCTCCTGCACAGGCTAGGAAGTTAGAGCCAGGCAAGGCCACTGAGTTGGGCCCTGGCCTGCTGGAGGACAGGGCTCCACAGTGACCACTCCCCGCACTGCGGGCTCCGCCCGGTCTCTGCACCCTGCTGGTCTCTGCACCCTGCTCCGTGCCGGTGGCAGGCCGTTGGAGTCGGGACTGCCCTCCCAGCCGCCCCTTCAGCACCTGACAGCAGCAGTCTGAAGCCAGCAGGGCGCAGGCCTATAATCTCAGCACCCTGGGAGGCTGAGGTAGTGCAATTCTGAGCTCCGCTGGAGCAACTAATAGAGACTTTGTTTCAAAACGAAAACTGTAAAGGGCCAGGGAACAGCTTAGTGCAAAGGCTCGGGTTCAATCTTCAGTACGGGGAAAACAAAACAAAACTGAAAGGAACACTACAAAGTACACATAAAATAATGTCCACAATCTCATCCAAAATAGCCTGTGCAGCTGGGCATAGTGGCACACGCCTGTCACCCCAGCACTCGGGAGGCTGAGGCAGGCAGGAGGATCGTTGCCAGTTCAAGACCAGCCTGGGCTACAAAGTGAGCTCAAGGCCTGAACCACATAGCGAGACCCTGTCTCAGAAAGACAAAAACAAATAGAAACAAAAACAACAACAACAAAAATAAACTGCACATTCCAACAAGTCTACTGCCATCCAGCAAATACCATAAAGACACTGTTCCCCTGAATTTAAGGGAAAAAAAAAATGAGAATTATAAACATCGAGTCCCTGTCTTCTGCTCCTTCATCTCCGGAGGCAACCACTATACTGCAAGTAAGGGGAAAATCCTGCCAACTGCTAAGGGTTCGGGAGCCCCACGTCCTCCAGGGCTGACTGACACAGGAAAGCCATGCGTTCACCACCCAAGGCAGGGGACACACCCGTCACCTCCAAAGCTTCCCTGGTCCTCTTGGCCCTAAGGACACTTACAGGGGTCCATCCACCCTCTTAGCTGCTGTTCGCTGGCACTGGCTACAGATGCACACTGCACGGACCTGGTCATCTCGCCTAAGTGACAGCTGTCCTCTGATACCCCTCCTCGCCCCTGGAAGCACCAGCCTGCTTTGTCTCCTGAGCTGGACCACTACAAATTCTACACTCAAAGGAGATCGTGCAGGGTATCATCTTTCTGTGTCTGACTTGCTTCACTTAATGTACCGTTACCCGTTAGAAACCTCTGTGTACACACAGCTGCACTATAGAACTTGCAGGAAACCAGTTAATGGAACACAGCAAAATATGACTCCTTGCACTAAAACCATATGATTTTCTTGAAGAGAAAGGACTTAAATAAGGCCTCATGGATCTTCTAAAGAAACTGGCTGGGCAGTCAATAGATGTGTGTGATCGGGGCATTCAAAGGCAAGGCTGGTCTCAGATGGCTGCAAGGGGGACTCTGGCACAAGGGGATGAGTGTCCTCAAAGTTCTGGCAGCTCTGAGCACATCCTCTCGCTGCTGGAGCCCCACGGACAACCCGGGCCCCTTCTAGCTTACTGCTGGGGGTTGTCACTCTCAAACTGAGGGAGGGGGAGCAGGCCTGTCTGCAGGACAGCGCAGGGACAGGCAGAGTCTGCAGCCTGGGGACAGCAGTACTACAGCTTGCCCCAAATCTCCTTTCCAGCCCGGCGCCTTCCTGCTCCGCCAGCAGCTTCCTGAAGAAGCCGCACCAGGACCACAGATAGAGCCCACCCCAAACAGACTGCAGACATACCCATAAATCTGCTGCCCGCTGCATACACAGCCAGGGACCAGGCCGCCCACACTTCACCCACGGACCTGCTTCCTCCTCTTCCACAGCTCACCTGTCACCAGGTACAGTCACATCACACACTACGCGGCAATCCGGAGTGGCCCAGCTCCTTCCTGGGCAGCTTTGGGCCAGGAAGCCAGAGCAATGGACGGCGCGAAGCGCAAGTCTAACTGCCCGTGGCTCTGCTGTCCACAGTGAGCTGCTCAGTCCCTTCCAGCCCCCTCCCCGACAGGCCCAGGTCCCAGGCCAGGCTGGTCACAGCTTACTGCCCCCAGCACCCCTGCCTGGGTGCAGGGCTCTGCAGAGCTCCCTGGTCCGCCCGCAGGCACTGTCTCCCTCACTGCTACGCCCAGGGGCCTGCCAAGTGCAGCTGGGCCAGGCCACATGCTGTGCCTCTGCCGGTCGGCCCAGGCCAGCCCGGTCCCTTCCACAGGCCCTGCAGTCTGTGAAGGCAGCCAGCCAGGAAGTGAGGGCACTCAGCTGCAGAACAGCTGAGCAGCTCCAGCCCTGGACAGCTGTACTCTGCTCTTGGGGCCCAGGTGCAGCGCAGGCTGGACATTCTCTGGGCATCCAGGTCCAGGTTACCTGACGGGCACCTGGTTAAGGCAGCAAAAGGGACCCAGGAAAGGGGGAAGGGAGGAGCCCAATCCCATGCCCATGTGTGGCACAGCATCCCATCTCAGCCAGCCATGAAGACCCACAGCAGGGCCACCTCCCAGCAGGGGCAGGCAGGGGTCCCTCTGACACCCAGGTCACTTGCTTCTGCTGAGGGCAGACACCTTTCCAAATCTGAGTATCACATCTTTCCTCGCCCTGCCCAACACACTACACATCCCCACAGGGACACGAGCTTCCTGAGAGCTCAGCCTCTCCCGAGAGCCCGTGCGTGCAGCCACACTCCAGAGGGCGGCCTTGCCGCATCACCGGCTCACCCACAGCTGAGTCGAGATGATGTGAGACCCAGGCAGCTGTGGAGAGGAGGCAGGAGACGCAGGTGGTCAGGGACCTCCCAGAAGCAGGGCGGTTGAGGGAACAGGGCCCCTCCGGTGCCAGCACTACAGGAGGCCTGGGTGCTGGCGCTCCAGGACAGGGAGAAGACGAGAAGCTGGAGGTGGGAGGGGAGGCGGACGCAGGAGCCACAGCACACCGCGGCCGAGGGCTCCTCCCTCAGGGCACAGCACTGTCCTGGCTGGGGATGGAATCGGCAGCCGTGTCCGCACAGTGAACATGCTCCCGTCACTGCGTGGACACAGCCTCAGGCTAGCGCACGGTGTGCGAGCGGATCTCAGGAAAGGAATTACGGTTAGGAAAACACGACTGGAAGGCTACAGCCGGACACCAGCCCTGAGGGCCCCACCTTGCGCTGCCCACCCCTCCTGGCAGGGCAGACACCAGCGGCTCCCCAGTCCTGAGAGGGGAGCTGTCCACAGACACAAATGCTCCAGCATAGACAAGGGAGAGCAAATCCCTCCCCAGCAGGAAATGTGGAGGCCGAGTTAACAGAACCGACCCTGCCACAGTGCTCAGAGAGAGCCCACCTGAGGGAAGAGCCAAGGACACGGGAAAGCCTTAAAGAAAAGCCGGGCGACCAGGGGGCCTGCCTGTCATCCCAGACTCCGGAGGCTGAAGTGGGAGGACTGCAGGATCCAGCCAAGCCTGGGCAGCTCACAAGACCCCCTCTCAAAGTAAAATTTTAAAAGGGGATGCAGCTCAGCAGCCCTGGCAAGCGCAGGGTGCTGAGTTAGACTCCCAGTACAACAACAACAACAACAAGGCAGAGGACACAGCTCAGGACACAAAAGCTACGGCTTGAATCCCTACTACTGTAAAAACAGACAGAGGTGCAGAAATAATGGACGGACAGACTGACTGCTGTAGTTTAACTCAGGAGTCAGCACTTTACACACACGAGGCCCTGGATTCCATCCTGGTGCTAAAACATTAAAAATAAAACCTAAATAAATAAGCACCATCCAAAGTCAATGCCCTAAGAACCCAGGAGGTACAGCCAACAAATCAAAGACTAAAGAATAGGAATGGTCGGGCGTGGTGGCTCACACCTGTCATCCCAGCACTCGGGAGGCTGAGGCAGGAGGATCGTTGCAAGTTTGAGACCAGCCTGGGCTACACAGTGAGCTCAAGGCCGGCCTGAGCTGCATAGCGAGACCCTGTCTCAAAAAGACAAAAAAAAAAAAAAAAAGAGAATAAGAATGGACTCAGTATCACAGTACATACAGTTTTTAAATTCAATGGAACAGGGGCCTGGGGATTTAGCTCAGCGGCATAAGCGCCTGCCTTGCAAGCAGGCAGTCGTGAGTTCGATCCCCGGTACCGATAAAAAGGAAAAAGACAAAAAAAAAAAAAAAAAAAAAAAAAAAAAAAAAATTCAATGGAACAGGTAGAAACCAAAATCTCCCAGACAGTGTGCCAGAGCCGGGCACGGCGTGCCCTCCTGCAATCCCAGCACTGTGGGAAGCTGAGGCAGGATGGCAAATTCAAGACTGACTCCGGCAACTTACCAACAATTAGTCTTGAAATAAAAAATAAAAAGGGCTGGGGACCCTAAGGCTCTGGGTTCACTGTGCAGACACACACACACACACACACACACACACACACACACACACACACCCGAGACCTGAGGCCAGGAATGGCAGCACATGCCCGTCATCCCAGAACTTGGGAGGCTTGAGGCAGGATTACTGAGTTCAAAGTCAGCAAGAGCTACACAGCACATTTCAGGCTGGCCTGTAACACAGGGCAAGATCCTACCTCAGGAAACTAAAAACCCCACTGAGGCACGAACAAATGCCTGGGACTCAGTGATGCAGCTGGCACAGCTACCACGCGGCGTGGCTCTCCTGCCAGCTCGGGACTGCTCACGGCCACCTTACAAGCACACACAGGTCGGCTCACTGCACAAGTGATGATACTTAGGTCAAGTAAAGCATCCCAGAAAGAGCGAACCGAAACAACGCACAGACGAAGGAAACTGAGCCGCGATGTCACAAGACACACGGAGCAACGCAACCCGCAGCCGCGGTGCTGCCTGCAGCACCCCGAGCGAGCGCTGCAGGACCAGCACAGCCCTCCCCAGAGCGAGGCCCGGCTGCCCCAGACCTCTCAGGGCCGATGAAGCGACACCCCGGAGGCCTCTACCCAGAGTGTGGCCCAACCCAGCTGGAGCTGGCAGGCAGGGGTGGTGGCAGATGCCAGCCGCTGCGGCTTGGAGGGCCTGGCTGCCCACGCAGCTCTTAGATTTCTCGAGTAATTAACCTCCGGGGAGAGCACTTGAGAAACCGCTCTATTACAGGAGAAAATAAACCAAAACAAAGGGGAATGAACAAATCCCCCAGGAACGCGGTGAGGAAAAGGCCCAGGGCACTCAAGGCACACAAGGCAGGCTGCAGCCAGTCCTGATTACGGGGGAGGTGGAGGGGTGGGGTGGCACGCAATGCTCAGGGGTAAAAGGAAAAGCCACCTGCTCCACAGAATAAATGATGCAGATGCGAAGCAAAAACACACACAGGGTGAAGATCACAGGCTGCAACCTCGTCTGACCTTGAGATGACCTTCAGCAGTCTCATCAAGTGGTCTAGGATTCGGGGTGCAGGACACAGAGGGGAGGGAAGACGCCCGCAGCCCACCGGGCTTGGGTTAGGCCCAGAACGACAGGGGGGATCAGGAAGGCAGCACACAAGGCTCCCAGGAGGAAGAGCCCTCCAGTCCCGCCACAGCACCTCCTGAGCACCTATCCTGGCGGGCAAGGGACTCAGCAGCAAACAAAACAGGTGCACGCCCTGCGCGGGGCTGCGGGAGAGAAACACCTGACGCGCGACGGTGCCAACAGGAAGCATAAGGGACCACAGCAGCAGGAGCCGAAGCAGCGGCACCTTAGACCCAGAGCCAGGGCACGTCCCCAGAGCACGCGACGCAGGGCTCTTCTTGGAGGTCTGCAGGTGAGCAGGTCTGCTCATCCGACAGAGCCCCGGAGGAGCTGGAGGTGCAGCCAGGGCACGGCACACACTCAGGGTACACGCAAGGCCCTGGGTTCCATCCCCAGGACCAGGACCAGGACCAGGACCAAACAAAAGACAAAGACACAAACCAACACAGAAGCAAATCAGCAATTTACTCAGGAGAGGTGGCGCACACCGGTCACCCAGCAGCACTCTGGGAGGCTGAGGTGGGAGGGTAACAAGTCCGAGCCCAGCGGGAGCATTTCAGTGAGACCCTGCCTCAAGAAATAAAAGGTTGCTGGATGTACCTCAGCACACCCTCAATCCCCAGTGCAAAAAGAAAAAAAGTTGGGATGTTGCTGGGAAAATGCGAGTAGTGGGGGATAATGCTCAACCTTTCAAATGAATCCAGAAACAGGATTTCACCACCTGCTGTTCAGCATGCATTCCAATCTGCCCTGGGAGAGCAAACTGGGCACTCAGTCTCTGACACCGCTGGGAGCTGCGGCACCGCCGAGTAACAGCGGAGGAGCCCGGTAGGGCTCTGACCTCTACGGTGGACCAGGCAGAGCTTCGCCACGCACAGGGTGGGCCTCATGGTCACCACACAACACACTCGGGGAGCCGAGAGCTTAGCTAGCTGTGCATGTGACAAACGGGGTATTTGCTCTGTGACGTGTGTGATGAACCGGGCAGGTCACTCCGAGATGCCTGCTGAGCTGGGGGGTCACTCTGCAGCATGCACGCTGGACGGGCGATCAGCCCGAGGTTCACCCCGCTATGCAGTTGGAGCAGCTGCCTGGGCTCCTACGGGACTACGGGAGAGTGGCCCTCGAGCACCACCCCATCGTTCAAGGGCTCAGAGCTCAGAACCTACAGGTTCCGGTGCCCTCACCCAGGTCACTGGGCCGCTGTTGCCCCATTGCCATGTCTGAGTCACAGGGATCCCAAGAGGCCCCAGGTGCAGGGCTACCCCAGGAGCACAGGCCTGGAGCCAAAAGTGGAGGACAGCAGGTGACTGCTGGTCCGATTTCGAGGAGCTGCTGGGTTGCTGCCATGGTGCGGACAGGATGAACGGCTTCGGCCTCTTGGTGGGTGGGTGTCGTCACCAGGACCCGTGCCCATGCTGTTAAGACAGGCAGAAGGGCAGAGCACAGCCCAGTGGGAAGGCACCATGCTGGCTGGGCTGCCAGTGCCTCACGAGGACCTGCCACTCCTAAGAGTCTTCAGAAAGGCAGGGAAGGGATGAAGGTGGGGGCTCAGGGAGGACAGGTGAGGAAGCCAACAGCTCGCACCTGCTGCCACCAGTCCCAGGAGGACAGCCCTGCAAAGGCACGGATTCTGTGTCTGTGATGCATGTCAGCTTCACTCAAGCAAAGCTCTGGCTCGGAAGCTACTTGGGCAGCCACTGACCCTCACACACCAGGTGGGGCGTCTGCAGCCAGCAAGAGCTCTCCCCTACCTCCCCAAACCTCTTGGCTGTGGAAGGATCCCCCTTCTGCTAAGGCACCTCAATCCGGGCCATAGTGCTGCCGGGGCAGTGGCACACACCTGTCATCCCACTACACAGGGCCTGGCAAGCTCCAGGCCTCCTGGGGTGACTCGGGGACACCCGCTAACAGGGCTGGAGACAGAGTGCAGAGGTAGAGCACTTGCTGGGCATGTGGGAGTCCTGCGTAGGAGGGAGAGAAAAAGGAAGGGAGGGCAGGAGGTGGCATAGCGTGGGCAAGAGAGAGGGAGGAAGGAAAGGAGGAGAAAGGTGTGCTGGCTTCCTGGGCCGGATGGGTACCGCTCCCTGGTGAGCACTTGCCAGGCGAGTGTCAGCCCCTCAGTCCTAGCCCCAGCACTGCAGGCAGAAAGCGCGAAGGGAAGGCCTGGACCCTGCGCGACACCAGACCTCGAGCTCCAGCCTGGTACTCGGCCCCGAGGGGTCAGGAGAGCCCCTGACCTCGGCTCCAAATCCCCACCAGTCCCTTCCCTGGGTGGGGGGGGCCCGGGTGAGTCCACCTGGTCTCCCAGGAAGCCCAGGGCCATGGAGGAGACCTGCAGGGTGCTGGGGCTCATCAAGCAGCAGCTGACAGTGACACAGGGGCGGGAGCCATGAGAGACACCAGACCCTGGTGACAGGCCCGGTTCGTTCTGCCCAAATGCTACGAGTCCTCAGCATAGCGTCTGGCAGGCCCCGTGCCTGTCTCCGGACTACACACAGCCGGCTCTGGTCACCCCACCCCTGGCCACTGGCCCCTCTAGCAGCAGCTCTGCATGGCGATACAGGCCCGCGGTGGCCCTGACAGCTGGAGAAGGAGGAAGGGCGCGGGACTGGCCGCATCACAGACCGGCTGGCATCACAGAGTGGTGGGCACGAGGCAGGGCCACTCACCTCGCTTGGGCTTGGGGAAGCTGTCATGCAGCCGGAAGATCACCTTCTCCACGAAGTGCTGGATCTCGCACTGCTCGGGGCCGCGGACAAACACCATCCAGTCGTGGGTGAAGCCCTCCGTGGTGGGCTTCTTGCGCAGCTGAGCACGGTGCCCCAGCTCTAACTTGACCTGCACAGTGCACTGCGGGGAGAGAGGAGGGACGGGTCAGGGGGAGCCCCAGGCAGGGCTCTGGGCAGAGTCAGGGGGACCACGGAGTGAGGGGCCCACAGAAGACCCGGGTGCACTGGCCTCTCCACAGCTGCTCCTCCCCTGGACAGCCCACTCACCAAGCACCCCGAATGTCACCTCTGCAGGGAAGCCATCCCTGGCCCCCAAGAGAAGCACCCCCTACCCCCGATGCCCCGCATCGCACCCTGATCCTTTCAGCACTTCCACTACAGGAAACCATCTTGCTGACCGCGGGCCGACGACCTGCTCCCCACGGAGATGGAGATGTCACCAAGGATGGCCGTGCCCCAGCCTGCAACACCGCGGAGGGGTCACTGAGGCTCTAAGAGCAGCTGCTTGCCTGGAGGACCAGGGCTGTGGAGACAAGGGCCGCCCTTGGACCCTGCCACCCACTCCCAAGGCACTGTGAGGCGCCCACGTCTACTCCATGCGCGCAGGGCACAGAGCAGGGCACTTCCCACCCCCAAGTCATCAGCAACGATGTGCCCCCAGTGGGAAAGCAACAGCCAGCACTCGGCCCCCAACGGGCCCAGGTGACCCTGCAGCCTCCGCCATGCGGGAATCTAACACTGTGCCAACTCGGAGAGCAGCCGAGGCCAGTTCCTCTCCACCGAGCACAAGGCCGCAGTCTTCAAGGCACCCTTCACACTTCGGGCAGCCAAAGCCACGGATGGGGAACCTGCTGTACACAGCCACTCTGCTTTGGGAAAACCTCCCGACTTTATTAATAGACACATCCCTGATACCAAGTATCAAATACGCAAGTGTCACAGAAGGATGCTGGCCAAGTGGACACTCGTCTCTAAGTGCCAGATAAGCAGGCGGCGGCGGCGGCCAGGGCCCGAGTGCCACACTGTCAGGGTGACTCCCCCAGCTGGGCCCGCCCTCAGCTCGCTCTGTGCCTTCCAGCCTCCGCCCTCCCTCAGCCTGCTGGGCCAGTGGGGGGCACCCTGCTCCCAAGGTGCCAGGAACAAGCACAGGCCCTGCACACCCCGCCTTCACGCCAGTGCCACTCCTTCAAAGTCAGGACACACCCATCACCCACACCCACGTGCATGATTTCTGCTGAGGGCTTCCCTCCCCGCACATGCGTGCATCCGTGCGTGCACACGCACACGCACACACCCAGGCATGCTCCCTCTCAGAGGCTGCTGCTCAGCTGGCAGTGTCTCAGGGCCCAGCGCTAAGCAAACAGGAAACACCCCGCCCCACGTCCCAGCTCGGTGCCCACTCCTGCTCGGCGGCCTGAGGGCCCCAGGCTCCCTTCTCCGAGGGGAAAGTTCCACGGCGCCTCCAGCCGGCGGGTAGGGCCGGCTACTCCCAAGGGGCCGTTCTGGCTGCCTCACAGGACGCCAGTCATCCCTGAAGCTCATGGCCAACACCCTGCACCTCTCGACTTGTCCCGGTGCCTGGGCTCTTTCCTGCCACTCCCCCCCATGACCTTGTGGTGCTCTGCTTGGAAGCACTGGACACAGCCCTCACAAACACTGCACCCACTTAACCGGGGCACCCTCAAGCTACACCCTCTGGGGATGGCTTTCCAGGAGGGAAGAGCTGCTGGCAGAGGAGGATGGGAGGCTCTAGCATGTGATGACCAGAAGGAGGCTTGGCCAAGTATAAGACACAGGGCAGGGGGCTGGGGATTTAGCTCAGTGGCATAAGTTTTTGCCTGGCAAGTGTGAGGTTGTGAGTTCGATCCCCAGTACAGCAAAAAAGAAAAAAAAAAAAAAAAAAAAAAAAAGACACAGGGCAATTTTTCCACTTCAAATTAAAAAAAAAAAAAACAGGTGCATGGTTAAGTATATGCAAATCATTATCAATTTAAAATTTACTTTAAAACAGAGGATGGGATGAAGTAGCTCCCCTGGCCCAGAATGATGGCCCTTTGGAGCTCCTGCTGTCTGACTAGCAACCCTGAAAGGAGAGGTGGGGACTGGTATGGGTGTCCAAGTCAGCCACGAGAACAGGAACGGACCATAGTGCACAGTGTACCGGTACAAGGATCCAAGTCCCCGTCCCCCAGCAATCCGCACAGTCCAAGCTATTGGCAGAGGGAAGAAGCAAACCGGCGGACCCAAGCTCCAAACCAGCCAGGGCAACTTAGCAAGACTCTGACTCAAAACTGAAATAGAAAGGACTGGGGACGTTGCTCACTAGTAGAGCGCCTCAGGTCCCATCCCCTGCACCACTAAAGAAAACAAAAGCACACGGAGCCAGCGGCCTGCTGGTGGGCAGAGGGAGAGCGGAAGGAGAAGGCCTGGAGCCCGAGGGAGAACCAGCCGGGCCCAGCAGGGAGCAGGCCCAGCAGGGGGAGCAGGCCCAGCAGGGAGCGGGCTCCGGGCTCCAAGACCACCTGGCAGCGGTGGCAGGCACGGTGAGGAGGAGGCAAAGAGGTGGCTAACTCACACAGCCTGCCCCGAGGGAACACACAGGGGGAAGGTCCACAAGAGCCAGAGCCAAGGACCTCAGGGCCACGCCGCACACCATCTGAGGGGCGCTTCCGGTGGACAACCACCAAACACAAAGCCACAACACCACTTCCAGGCTCCCCAGCCTCCTCCACACTACACCTGTCAGCCCCGCCTTTCTGTCCCGAGCCAACCCCAAAAGCTCTCCTGCCTCCTCCGGCGCGGTGGCACAGGCCTGCAATCCCAGCACCCAGGAGGCTGAGGCAGGAGGGCTGCTGTTAGATGCCACTCTGAACCACAGAGTGATAAGAAATTGTAAGTGGATAAAGGATACAAGGAACCTAAAAAAAAGAACAAGAAGGAAAAAAAGAGAAACTAAAAACCAGAACAGCTCCCCTCCTGCTTCCCTGGAGTTTATTCTGCAGAAGGAGACGGCCTCCCTGGAGCACGTTACTCGCCAGGCTGGCTGCTCGGCCCTCGGCCGCCTGCCCGGCATTTTGGACAACACAGAACTGCTACTCAGGGCAAGCGCTGAGATGCCAAGAGAATGGAGACCAGGGCTCCACTGCAGAGGGTGGGAACGGAGGCACCGAAGCTGTGCGGTGGAGGCCAAAGTAAACAGGAAGGTGCCAGGCAGCAACGGGCAATCTCTGCAGCTAGGAGGCCGTGCCCAAAGCACGGCCTGGTGACATCTATGCCCCAGAGGCTGGCGCCAAGGGCACCCCGAAAGCCCTGCAGGGCATAGTGAGCCGCAGGCTCGGCTGACGGAGTGGAGGATACCAGCCTGACCCTGGACATGCCAGACACGCTGTGCTCCAGGGCGCAGCCCACCTCTGGGGCGCTGCAAACGGCTGAGAAGTGCCCTGGGAGGGTAGCACAGACTCTGCCTGCACCCTGCCTAGGAAAGGAGCCACTGACTCAGGAAGACAATCGAGCTGTGATAACTGGAGCCCAGGGCGAAGCTGAGCCCTGGCCAACCTCTGTGCCGTGTCACGTCAGGATCCCTTACAAGCACAGGGCAGCCGACCCACAGCCCAGGCTCACGCCTCCTCCCTCCTCTGCTCTACTCGGGCGCCCTCCCCAGCCACCAAACCAGGAGCTGCTTCTCCAGAAGGGCCCCTGGCTCTGAGGCTAGCTGTGCAGACACTCAGCTGGGGACCCCCGGAACCATGAGCCATCCTCAAAACCAGCCCACAGGGGCTCTTGCTGCTGCTGGGAGGCCGCACTGCGGGCACCCCAGAAGGGCTGGCTGGCTGGCTGCATGCGTGGTGGGCAGGGTGACCCCCACTTCTCTGCATAGCTGGAGGTCACTTTGCTGCTGCCCACTCCCCAATACAAGCCCCAAATGAAGGGAAGTATTCCATGCCTACGGAAAGTAATAACCACCTTTCTTGAGAAAATCATCCACAAGTCAGTGACAGATGGGGCCCCAAGTGTCATCTGGGGACACTTAAACTTGGGCAGAAGCCTCGACTGGGCCACTGCCCTCAGTCCAGGCCAGCTGGCAGAAGGCACACAGAACACAGGGCCAGAATCCTGAATCTGGCATTTAGGCAAACACATAGAGGGGGGCTTCCCAGACTCGTCTGCTTGCAGAGGTGGCAACTGTCTCCGTATAGGGCCTGCACTGGCCTCGCCTGGCTGAGGCACGCAGCACTGCTCGATTCCAAGCCTTCCTCTGGGCCACCTGGTGTCCCTGGAGACCTCCCATAAGCTGAGGCCACAGATGCCAGGGCTTTAGCAGGTAGTTTACCTGTAAGAGTCCCGCACATTTTCTGGTGGGAATTCGCCCCACAAATGCCCTCGCCTCTGGGGACTCGCACTTTGCCAAGTGGTGTAATTATACCTAGAGTCTGGCTTCTGTGCCGTGTTCCCTGTGACATAATGACTCCCGCCCCTCACGAGCACTCAGTCTTGCTCCTCAGCCTCAGCTGGCTGAAAAGTCCTGCTGGACAGAGCGTGGCTCCACGCGCACACAGCTGGGCAGTTCCTCCAGGTGACCAAAGCGATCCCAGGGGAGGATGCTCTGCAGAACTTGCTCCCTCGAGGTGCAGGCAGGGGCTCTCACTTAGGGACAGCCACTGAATTAGACCAGAAGGGGAGCCAAGGGAACAGGTGCCCTGCCTGCCTGGAAGGCGGGGACAAAGCCAGAGGGCCAGCACTGCTCACTGGCAGCTGCACGGGGCCCCAGACCTCAACCATGGTACACAGGGGCCAGCAGCCACCTCTCCAGCCTTTCCTGGCGCCATCCACCCTCATTTTGCTGCCGCAGGGTACAAGGTTAATGGAAAGCGAGAAAGCAAGCAATAAAGTTCGCCCTAAAACACTGAGGGTCGGTGTCTAGACCTTGCGGATACGCACATTACCCACAACCCTTCACCACGAGGTCCCAGAGCCAGGGTATTTACACACAAGGTGCCACTGCAATCAACCATGGCCGGGTTTCTCTCAGCTTCCCTTGGGGAGTGAGGGAAGCAGGAGTCTTGGGGAAGAATTTTTAATGTGCACAAACCCATTCGAGGCATCTGTCACTTGGTCATACGGGCCTGGCTGCAAAGAGACCAGTTCCTACTCACTTTTATTTAGAGTGGAAAGCACAACCCAGCACTGGAGAGTGGGTGGACACTCAGGGAAAGAGGACGCGGGGTCTCTGTCCTCAACAATCTGACACTAGAAAACCTTTAGGACAGAAATATAGCTGCTCCCATGGTACCTGAAAGGAGTTTGGGGGAAATCCGTCACCCAGGCTTTGCAAGCTGCCCAACGGCTAGCTTTCCACCAAAGGGCTGGGGAAGGAGGAGATGTACAAAAGGAAGACTCCAAGTTGGATCTGAGCCACCCGGGGACATTCCTGGGCCTCAAGTTCCTCATCTATGAAATGGGTACTACTCACAGCCACCACCAGCAGACACAGCCTGTTCCCTAGCAAGAGCCCAGTCAAGGCAGTGGCTCCGAGTCAAGCTGTACTGGCCATTCGAGGGACAGTCCACTCAAGGGACAGGCTATACGAGGGACAGGCGTGAGGCAATCTTGAGCTTCCATCTCCTCAGCTGGCTGCCACCGTGTCAGAGGCCAGGTCATCCAAGGGGATGCTCCTTAAAAGGACTAAACCACCTAGCCACTGATAGCACTTCCCAGCTGGGGGAGGGGGTCTGGTCCCCAGTCACCTGCTGCCAGAACCCATCCCATCTTGCTGGCATCCACTCAGTCCTGTCCAAATCCTCACCCACAGGCTTCCCACCCAGACTGGGAGGTAAACTGCTCCTCCGGGCCCCAGCCCCAAAGTGAGCAGAGATCTCAGGCACCAGCCTGCCAAGGAAAACACAAATGCCACAGACAGCACGGGCACAGACGCGGGGTGGGGGAGTGGCCTGCACGTGGGGAGGGGTGGGGTGGGATGGGGTGGGAGTAGGGGAAGTCCACCGCCACACGGGAAATCCCGCTTCTCCGCTAGGCCTGAGAATCCTAGGGGAAGGTGAGCCCACAGGTAGAAAAGAGCATCAGAGCCTCCGGGAGCCAGCGTGCACCCAGGGGAAAACCGTGCCATTTGCTACTATAATGAGCCATTGATGGTTCTGGGGCCTCTCCAGGCAGGGGAGGAAGGTTCTACAGACTCAAAGCCTGCTCTGTGCACCCAGTAACTGTGGACACTCACAGCAACCCACCTACCTGGTCAGGGACACCTCATCTCCCCAAGGGACAGAGCCCCCAGGTTCTCCCTACCCACAAAACTTGGTGGTGAGAGGGAAACAAGCTTGGGGTGCTCGAACTCTTTCCTCTGGACCTCCGTGCTCTCAAGGACTGTGACCACAGGACCTTCTGTGCTGACGGAAATGCCAGCCACAAGGGGCTCTGGGTGGTAACTAAGTACTTAGAAGGTGGCCAGTGTGGCTGAATGACTGAATTTTTTTCATGTCACCTGGCTTAAGTTTCTAACAGCCACAGGTACTGGTGGCTGCATGCTGGGCAGTACAGACCGACCCAGGTCTCCACAGCCTATGTCACCTGAGTAGGGCCTTTCTCTGTGTCACTGACCCCAAATGCCCCATCTTCCCACCATCCCACTTATCTCAGTGACAGCTACCTAGACACCCAGAGCTCGGCCACATCACAGAGAAATGGCCTCAACTCTGAAGGCAAAGAGGACAGAGAACAAACCTGGTGCCTCTGTGGGAACAAAAGAGACTTTCCCAGGAGGGCCTTCACAGATGGCAGATGCCAAGAGGACGTTTCATTGCATTAACTCAACCCGGGGCAGAGGCAGCAAGCTCTGTTTTTTTGCAGGTTTGTGAAAACCTATCTCAGCTTTCCGCACCTCTCAAGACAAAGATCATACGCCAAAGACAGAAAGGAACCCCAGAAGCCCAGGTCACCTGCCTCAGTGATCCGGGGCCACTGGTGGGGGTGCAGCAGGCAGGTCCCTTGCCCCCTGCCCCGCCCCACTCCAGAAACCACACAGCCCCACAGCGCCTTACCAGGCAGAGCCGCCTCCATGGCGCCAGCAGCTAGGGACGCCCCAACCTGTCCTCACTCCCCGCAGAGAGTCTGGCTGCCACCCCCACAGGCCCACAGGGCCTGCCTCCCTGGCCTCAGGCCCCTGGAAGCCGGGACACAAGGAGAGGTGGAAGCAGCAACCCTAGGTTGGAGACAGCAGTGATGCTGGGTTTGAGTCAAAGGGGAAGGGGCTGGGGCGCTGCAGAAGGCACACAGCACTGTTCGGAGCAAGGAAGGCCTCAGGTCTGCAAGAATCTACAGGACTGACAATGGCTTGGCTTCCAGATCTGAGGGGGAGGCGCCAACAACTGCCAGCAGGAGGTGGGGATCCACCTTGGGTCCAGATTGAGGCTCTAAGATGCTGGGGAAGGGGAGCAGGCTACAAGATGAATCAGCTCAGAGAAGCAACAGTCCCTGGTCCTGGTCTCAGAGAAGAGGGTTGAAGAGATTAAAAAAAAGAGACAGTCCTCTGGTCCTGAGGTCTGAGAGAAAATGACCAGGGCCCTCAGAAGGGGCCCAGGGCAACAGTGGGTCCACAAGCCCAAGTCCGAAGGGAAGGGACACTCTATAGACAGGCCTGGGTCCTCGTAGCAAAGGACAGCAATTCGGGGCTCAGGGAGATGGGGACGCTCAGGTCGGAGAAAGAGCTGCTCAGGTAGGGGGAGGACGGCTCAGGACCAGGAAAGGGACTGGGGAAAGAGGGGTTACGGGGTGGCCTGGGTTGGCAGAGGGCCACAAGAAGGACTCCAACCTGAGCTAAAGCTCAAGACAGAACAGGCAGCAGGTTGGCGGTTTATGGAGTTTGAGGCGACCTGGGGTCCAGAGAGAAGGGAAACTAGGCCTGGCCACAGAACGACAAGGGGGAATCTCAGCCTGAATCTGGGGAGTAGAGGGGGCGCGGGGCTGGGCTGGAGTCCCCAGAGACGTCTGCGGGGACTCCGGGAGGAGCTGGGGAGTGCCCGGTGGCATCCTACGGGGTTCCGGGTCGAACTGGGGTCCCCAGGGCCATCCCGGTGAGCTCTGGATCGCACCGGGCTTCCCAGGCTCGTCCCGGGAGGCTCGGGGCCAGGCCGCGGTCCCCAGGGGGGCTGGGGGCGCGGATGGGGGAGGGGCGCCTCGCCCCACTTCGAGGCCGGGGAGAAACGGGCGCGCACAAAGCGGACGGGGAGGCCGGGGCCCAGCAGGCGGGCAGAGAGGGGAGGAGGGGGCGGGCGGGCTCGGCCGGGCGGCGCGGCCGCTCCTCACCTGATTGTCCATGGCTGGCGCCCCGCCCCGCCCCCGGGCCCCGCGTCTCTCGTCGCCGCCGCCGCCGCCGCCGCCGCTCAACGCAGCCCCGCCGCCCTCATTGTCAGGCGCCGCTACCGCCGCCGCTCCGGGCCGCCAGCCCGCCCGCCAGCCCCGCGGAACCGGAAACCACCGCCAGCCCGGGTCTCTCACCGACCGCGGGCCCCCGACGCCGACTCGGGCCCGCCGCCCAGATGGATAGTTATCTGGGCCAATCGGCGGGACGGACCACCGCTCGGGGGGCGGGACTTCCGACCTGTCGGGGGCCTGCCAGGCTGCGGTCGGAGGGACGAAGCCCTCAGCCAATGAGAGGCCGGGACCGGAGGGGCGGGAGGAGGGAGGGAGGCGCGAGCCGAGCTCGGCCGAAGGGAGCGAGACGAGGTGTGCGCCGCACGTGGAGGGGGGCGGGGGCGGGACGGCACTCCGCGCCTGCGCACTGCGGCCCGAACCTCGCGGGCTGGCGTATCCAGCGGGTGCGCGGTGGCCCTCCGGGGACTCGGCTTCCCCGGGAGACGCTGTTGTGTCCTGGCCGCGTGCTGCTCCTGTGTGGTGGAATGTGCTCTGGAAGTGAAGATTCTGTGTCCAATCCTGGATTTGCGTGGCAAACCAAGTTCCCCGGGTCTCCCTCCTGGGTTGTAAAGCAGAGTCCATCGAGATGGTTGGGGGGCGGGGTGGCTGGCCTGCGCGCTGATCTGGGTGGCAGCATTCGAAGTCGTGCTTCGCTAGAACGATCGCGACGTCCCATGTGTTCTGGAGGCCTATGTTCCGATGCCTCCTGCACGACAAGGTGCCAGTGGTTGATAACCATGGATTATTTATTTTTTGGGGGGGGAGACAGGGTGTTGCTATGTGGCCCCCGCTGGTTTCGAATCCCTGGGAGCAAGAACTCATCCCGACTCAGCTTCCTGAGTCACTGGGAAATGGTGTACATTTAAAAATTGTAAAAATAGTGGTTTTTAAATTTTCTCACTGCAAAAAAAAGATAAACAGGTGAGGTGGTCGCTGTGTTAATTGATTAACATTACGCATGTACTGTCTACGTGTATTGAAGCGTTGTATCGCATAGGCAGCTGTCAGAAAAGTGGGACGTTCTAGGACTCAGTAATGTCACCCAGTGGTAGTGCGTGGGACTATTTAGTATGTGTGAGGCCCAGGTTTAATTGTCAGCATCCAAAATAAAAACTTGAATAAATCACAGAGGGTGGTGGCCCTCATCGCCATGTACTCTGCAGGCTGAAACAGGAGGATCCAGCTTTAAGGTGAGTCTGGGAAGCTAAGCAAGATCCTGCCTGGAAAACTAGGAAGGGCTGAGGAGGTAGCTCCTTGGTAAAGTGCTCGGCTTAGCTTCCCAGGCCCTACGTTCAATCTGCACTACTGGAAACGAAACATAACAAAACACACCTGAAAAAGACCAGGTTGCTGTCATGAAAACATCACCATTCTTTTTCATCTGGGGCCCAATGTGTAAAAAGAAAAAAATATGGAGGTAGTGTTGGGGAAATAAACAGCAGCCAGACATGGCGGCACATGCCTGTAAATCTCAGCTCTTGGGAGGCTGAGGCAGGAGGACCTCCATGAGTTTGAGGCCAGCCTGGGCTCCATAGTGAGCTCAAGGCAGCCTGAACTGCATAGAGAGACCCTGTCTCAAAAGAAAAAAATTGTCTCCTCGGAGAGACAGACGCCACCCCTACGTGATCTGCACCCCAGCTTCACTTGCCAACCTCCCCTCACCCTGTTCTGATTTTTTCTCTCTCCCCAGCATGCATCAGCACCTCCCAATAGATATAAGTTATTAAATTCCTTTTGTGTCTTCCCTGCCTGGAATAGAAACTCCAGGAAAACAAAGGTTGCTGTCTTTTGGGGGGGGGGGGGTGGCTGGTGGATCCTGAACACAAAACCTGGTGCATAATGGGCTCTCAGCAAATATTTTTGCCCAAAATTCAGTACTGTTGAGTCTAACAGCAAAGACATTAATCTCTCGTCATTTCTAGTCCTATTTTCCAGAGAAAGTCTCAGCGTGGTGTTTGTCTATCTTTCCTTTTTTTTAATTTTTGGGTTTTTTGAGATGGTGTCTTGTGATGTAGTCCAGGCTGGCCTTGAACTCACTATGTAGCCCCGGCTGGCTTCAGACTCGTGTTGATTCTCCTGCCTCAGCCTCCCAAGTGCTGGGATTAAGGTGTGCACCAATGCCTAGTTTATCCATCTTCAATGTCTCCCTAGCAATTTTGTTAAAGATACAGATTCCTGAAGAAATAAATGTATACTGTTGCTTTGAGTCATCTGCTTTGGTAACAAAGGGAACAGCTCTGGGGTCCCCAGCTGTAGGCCAGCGACAGCTCCCGCTGCAGGATTTCCCCAGCCTTATTCGGACATGGATGTCTCGGAAGAGGTATTAAGTACATTCTTGCACTCTGGGAGGCTGAGGCAGGAGGATCACAAGTCTGAGACCAACTTGTGCAGTTTAGGGAAACCTTGCCTCACAATAAAAAATAAAAGGGACTGAGTTATAAATTAGTGGTTTGGATACCCCCATGGGGTGGATACTAAGTACGGCAAAAAAAAAAAAAAAAAAAAAAAAGGAAAGGAGGAAGGTTAGTTCCACTTTATTAGCCCGGAGTAGCCTTTTTTTTTTTTTTTTTTTAGCTAAACAGGAGTTCCTGGTGGAGTACTTGGATTAAGAATGGGCTGCTGGCGGTTAATGACACTTGTGTTACTGTATCTACTTTGGTGTCCAATGCCTGATAACCTGGACACAATGTTCCCTGTTGTATCCATGTAAAGCAGGGGAGTACAGGCAAAGAAGATGATAATTTGGGGATTTGGCAGAGGCACAGCCACTTGTGTTCAGTCTACTTTGTATCTATTTCTCCTGTTCTCCCACTGTCACAGCCATGGAATTAAGATATGGAGGGGCGGTGGCTGGCCCAGAGTTTCACAGCTCCAAAGCAATAGTTTGGATGTTTGTGGCTTGGCTTCCGAGGGACCAGGGACGCGTCTGCGGCTACACCAGGTCTCTACTGCCCTCTGCTGGGGTGGTTTGTTTGCACCCAAGAAAGCGTCCCTGTCTCCCCACCTCCTTCTCCATGTACCCCTCTTATACTGCTGTTCAAACCCAGGAACATTTTCCTCACCCCTGAGCTACATCCCCCGCCTTTTATATTTATTTCCTTTTTTTTTTTTCTTTTTTGAGACAGGGCCTCACTAAATTGCCTAGGCAGGACTTTGAATCCTCCTGCCTCAGCCTTCCACAGTACTGGGATGATGTGTGTGCCACTGCGCCCGGCAAGATTTGACACACGTTCCTCTCTGTTGGGAGCCGCAGCCCCGAGCCCGGTCGCCTCACTTGGCGGACGTGAGGCCTGTAGTAAAGAGTAAAGCCTGAGGTAGATTACCCCTCCCATCGAGCACGTTAGTTTCCTGCTTACCGCGTAAGCAACCCGCTCAACAATATAGTCTGCCTGGCAACTGATGATGTTAGCCAATCAGCTTGCCTTGCTTACTTTAACATGATTGGACACTGTATCCGTATATATACTGGTGCCACCCCTGGGGGGGAAGAAGAAGCCCAGAAGTAGAAGCCCAAAAGGAGCCGCGGGGAGCGGACCAAAGGAGGCTTCGGCTGGGAGCGATCCCAGGGCAGGCTGTACGGAGAAAGGAAAATAAAAGAAAAGGTTGTCCACTGCCAGACTTTGTCATGTGTCCTTCCTGCCGGCCAGGAGCGACATCGACATTTGGAGGCCCGCACGGGGACTGATCACCCCCGAGACGTGACAGCGGACAACGCTCCAGTACAGAGCTGCGAGACAGGTGAGTTGGGGATAAGCCTGGGCTCTGGGTGGCGCGCACCTACAGGGCTTTTAGACTCCCCTCAGGCTCACGCGTAAGTGGCGGATTCCTTGGGCCTCACGCGGTGAGTAACATATTAAAAGATGGGAAACATGCTAGGTAGCAACACTAAGAGCGAGGGTGGTTGTGGAGAAAGCTCTCAAGAGCTTACAAAAGTACGCAGGGTATTTGAGCAGGCCCAGCCGGGGAGCTACCGAGAGGGGCCCGTCAAGGAGAACAAAGATGCTAAGGAGAAGGACGGGGCTCTAGCCTCGGAGTCGTCTGACTCCGAGGACGAGGGAAAGTTGAATGGCAAGGAGGCCAAAGAGACCAGCTGTCAGGAGCCTAAGTCGCTCGATAAGGAGTCGCAGGGTTCTTTCCCAGCGTTGCGCCGTGAATTGCGCTCCGCTCAACTTGGTCTGCGGAGGAGTAGAGAGCTCCTGAGCGCTCCCCGGCGCGAGAGGGAGGCGAAGCCTTCCGCCCCACCTTGGGGGCTGTTCCCGGAGGCGATCCCTCGCCGCGAGGCGGCCGCCCGGGAGCTCCCTTCCCCTTCGCCAGAACAGGAAGTGATGCACGGGCCCCCATTTTCCGCCCAATCATGGCCGCCGTCTTATGCTCCGCCGCCGGCGGGTCGGTATTTTTACAGGCGGCTTTGGCAGGGGGGACGCTTGTCTCATGAGGTACATCCACCTGGGATAGATAGTGGCCCCTACGGGATATTTCCTGTACAAGTAGCTATGGGCCAGGGACGTAATGCATGGGAGCCTTTTGAGATAAAGCAGATTAGAGAACTTAAAAATGCAGTTACAACCTTTGGACCGACTGCGCCTTACACCATTGCCATGCTGGAGAACCTGTCTTCTGGGCCCCTCACCCCCGCGGACTGGACTCAGCTGGCAAAGGCGTGTCTGCCCTCGGGTAGTTACCTGGATTGGCGAGCCTGGTACGCAGAGTTCTCTGCAGAGCAGGCTGAGAGAAACGCCAGTCGGGGAAACCGGGGGTGGAACAAGGAAATGCTTATGGGAGAAGGTCGGCACGCTGATGATCAGACTCAGTTCCCCGGCGCTGTCTATGAACAAATCAACGCCATAGGGCTCCGCGCCTGGAAGCAGGTAAGTGGTGCCGGAACAGCCTCCTTGTGTCTTTCAAAAATAATTCAGGGTACCACAGAGCCATTTGTTGACTTTGTGGCCCGAATGCAAGATGCTGCCGATAAGATATTTTCTGATCCGGGAGTGGCTCGACCGCTGATAAGGCAGCTGATTTTTGAGCAATGTACAAAGGAGTGCAAGGCAGCGATAGCTCCTCATAAGAACAAGGACCTCAACGCCTGGATTAGGATATGTAGAG